AAAAAAAAAAAAAAAAAGCAGGAGTTGCAATTCTCGTCCCTGATAAAATAGACTTTAAACCAACAAAGATCAAAAGAGACAAAGAAGGACATTACATAATGGTAAAAGGATCAATGCAACAAGAAGAGCTAATGATCCTATATACGTACCCAATACAGAAGCACCCAGATACATAAGGCAAGTTCTTAATGACTTACAAAGAGACTTAGACTCCCACACAATAATAGTGGGAGACTTTAACACCCCATTGTCAATATTAGGCAGATCAACCAGACAGAAAATTAACAAGGATATCCAGGACTTGAACTCAGACCTGGACCAAGCAAACCTAATAGACATTTACAGAACTCTCCACCCCAAATCCACAGAATATACATTCTTCTCAGCACCACAACACACCTACTCTAAAATTGACCACATCGTTGCATGTAAATCACTCCTCAGCAAATGCAAAGAACAGAAATCATAACAAACAGTCTCTCAGACCACAGTGCAATCAAGTTAGAACTCAGAATTCAGAAACTAACTCAGAACTGCACAGCTTCATGGAAACTGAACAACTGGCTCTTGAAAGTTGACTGGATAAACAATGAAATGAAGGCAGAAATAAAGATGTTCTTCAAAACCAACAAGAACGAATACACAACATAGCAGAATCTCTGGGACACATTTAAAGCAGTCTCTAGAGGAAAATATATAGCAATAAATGCCCATATGAGAAGCAAGGAGAGATTTTAAATCAACACCTTATCATCAAAATTGAAAGAGCTAGAGGAGCAAGATCAAGATATCTCAAAACCTAGCGTAAGACAAGAAATAACTAAGATCAGAGCAGAACTGAAGGAGATAGAGACACAAAAAACCCTTCAAAAAATCAATAAATACAGAGCTTGTTTTTCGAAAAGATCAACAAAATAGACCACTAGCCAGATTAATTAAAAAGAAAAGAGAGAATAATCAAATAGTTGCAATAAAAAATGATAAAGGGGATTCTAAGCAAAAAGAACAAAGAGGGAGGCATCACACTACTGGACTTCAAACTATACTGCAAGGCTACAATAATCAAAACAGCACGGTACTGGTACCAAAACAGAGATATAGACCAATGGAACAGAACAGAGGCCTCAGAGGCAACACAACATATTTACAACCATCCGATCTTTGACAAACCTGACAAAAACAAGCAATGGGGAAAGGAGTCCCTGTTTAATAAATGGTTTTGGGAAAACTGGCTAGCCATGCGCAGAAAGCAGAAAATGGACACCTTCCTGACACCTCACACTAAAATTAACTCCAGATGGATTAAAGACTTAAACATAAGACCTAACACCATAAAAACCCTAGAAGAAAATCTAGGCAAACCCATTCAGGACATAGGCATAGGCAAGGACTTCATGATCAGAACACCAAAAGCATTGGCAATGAAAGCCAAAATAAACAAATGGGACCTAATCGAACTTCACAGCTTCTGCACAGCAAAAGGAACAGTCATTAGAGTGAATCGGCAACCAATGGAATGGGAAAAAATTTTTGCAGTCTACCCATGTGACAAAGGGCTGATATCCAGAATCCATAAAGAACTAAAACAGATTTACAAGAAAAAAACAAGCCCATTCAAAAGTGGGCGAAGGATATGAACAGACACTTTACAAAAGAAGACATACATGAGGCCAACAAACATATGAAAAAATGCTCATCATCACTGGTCATTAGAGAAATGCAAATCAAAACTACACTGAGATACCATCTCATGCCAGTTAGAATTGCGATCATTAAAAAATCTGGAGACAACAGATGCTGGAGAAGATGTGGAGAAATAGGAACACTTTTACACTGTTGGTGGGAGTGTAAATTAGTTCAACCATTGTGGAAGACAGTGTGGCGATTTCTCAAGGACCTGGAAATATAAATTCCATTTGACCCAGCAATCCCATTACTGGGTATATAGCCAAAGGATTATAAATCATTCTACTATAAGGACACATGTACACGAATGTTCACTGCAGCACTGTTTACGATAGCAAAGACCTGGATCGAACCCAAATGCCCATCAACGATAGACTGGACAGGGAAAATGTGGCACATATACACCATGGAATATCATGCAGCCATCAAAAACAATGAGTTTGTGTCCTTTGTAGGGACATGGATGAACCTGGAAACCATCATTCTCAGCAAACTGACACAAGAACAGAAAATCAAACACCACGTGTTCTCACTCATAGGAGGGTGTTGAACAATGAGAACCCATGGACACAGGGAGGGGAGCATCACACACTGGGGTCTGTTTGGGGGAAATAGGGGAGGGACAGCGGGGGGTGGGGAGTTGGGGAGAGATAGCATGGGGAGAAATGCCAGATAGAGCTGATGGGGAGGAAGGCAGCAAATCACACTATCATGTGTGTACCTATGCAACAATCTTGCACGTTCTTCACAGGTAGCCCGAAGCCTAAAATGCAATAAAAAAAAACAACAACAAGGAATGGACAGGATGTAAGGAAAACTGATAGAATACACAAAACCACTCATTCAAATTTGGCTATTAAAGACAGAAGAGAAAATGAATTGGCAACCACTTCACACCCTCTAGAATGGCTGTAAAAATAATAATAGAAAAGGAAAACAACAAGTGTTGGGAAATATGTGAAGAAACTGGAACCCTCATACAATGCTGGTTGGTGGGAATGTAAAACGGTTCAGCTGCTATGGAAAATAGTTTGCAACTCCTCAAAAAGCAAAACAGAGGGGTTACCATATGACTCAGCAATTCTACTCCTAGGTATGTACCCCAGAGTATTGAACACATATGTACACAAAAAACTTGTACATGAATGTTCAAAGCAGCATTGCTTATAATAGCCAGCAAAGCAGAAACAACCCAAATGTCCATCAACTGATGAATGGATAAGCAAAATATTGTATATTCATATAATGGAATATTATTCAGCTATAAAAAATGAAGTGCTAGTAACATTCTACAACGTGGATGACCCTTGAATACATTATGCTATGTGAAAGAAGTCAGACACAGAACGCCCTGTGTTATAATATTGTACTGTGTGAAACATTCAGAATGGTCAAATGTACAAAGATAGAAAAAGATTAGTTGTTGTCAGGGGCTGTGGGGAGAGGGGAATCCAGAGTGACTAACAGGTTGTGGCAACGGAGTGCAAGTGAAATTGTTTGAGTTGATAGCGCCTGACTGAAGGAAGCAGGAAAAGAGCCAGTGAGATGGGTACAATGGAAGGAAGACAGGCAGGAGAGAGGGATAATCAAGAGAATAAAGTCTCCTTTAAGTGACTAAGAAAATCTTTCAAATTATTAATGAAATATCAGACAGCAAATGCCAATGTTGTAAAGGGAATTTTCCTCACTGGGAAGCAGCACTAAGCACAATACCTTTGGAAATGTTTCAGTTAGTAATTTATGAAAACAACATCCATTCTTGCTTAAAAGAAAACATTCTCAGTTCCTTCTGCCCCTGTTGGCCCACACTTGGATGCATTCCAGCCTGTGTTTATGTGTCTGGGTTCAGTTCTATCATTGAATAGATATTAACTGTGAATAAGTGTTCCAGAGATGCTCAAGTACCCATGCCTTGAACATTTTGTCTTCCTCCAAAGTCCATTCTCCTCTTTACCAATAGGAGGAGCTGTGTTCCCTCTTCCCATTTCCTTTCCAGGACCTCTGAAGCGGATGTGTCTGTGTCTGAAGCCTACCGCTGGGGAAGCTTCCTGCTAATAGCAGAGCAGAGGGAAGGAAGCCATTCTCGTTTGTACTGCGTGGGGAGGGGAAGCACATAGCAAAAGGACTTGAGAGAGTTCAGCTGTCATGTCCCCTGGCAGGTCATTAATGTTTTAAAGCCCCATTACCTGTCCTGGGCTCAGTGTAACCATATGTCTTTGAGCTTTCTGGAACTTAGGAAAACGCTTTAAATCAGGATTGACAACATTGATTTTACTGAACACACTAGATTCTTCATAAGGGATTCTAGTTGGATAAAGGAAAGGAGTATCTTCAGGAGGAAAGAGATGCCATCGTTTCCTAATTAAAAAAAAAACAAAACAAAAATACAAGTTAGTACTCTGATCTTAAAAATAAAACATGTAAGAACGAAAAAGATAAATGTTCATTTTTACTCATTTAAATTCAATCCCTAAGGAATACAGGCACCATCAGTGGTCAACCTGGCCATCTCTGACTCGGCGCTAGAATCCCTCTGCGGATACCTGGTGGAAGGCTGTGTAGCAACTGACGGGCCCTTCCATTCCTGGGACAGAATCTAGCTTGTAAGATCATTCTTTCTTATCTCAAATCAAAGTCTACCTTCTCATAAATAGTTTTTATTCCTGATTCTAGAGCTAGTCCATAATAACTCCAACTCTTTCAAATATCTGTATTCTTATCTTATTCGGAGAAAACACTCACAGTTCCATCTACCAAATAGTTCCCAGACTTCTCCCAGTTTGGGTTATAAATTCCTTAAGTTAAACATTTGCTAAGTTAATCCATTAGGGAGTGGACATGCACAAATAATGCCACATAAATAAAGAAGTATAATGTAGGAATTTTCAAAAAGAAAACTGTAAAATGTTTGTCACTTAAAACAGTTTTGAAAATGGAAACATCAGACCAATGCTTTATGCCAATAGGGGAAAGACATCTGAGGCAAAAGCGAGAGAAGTAGGAGAAAAGAATGAGACCCCAAAATCTAGTTGTCTAGATGGGCAAGCAAAGAGAAAGGAGCAAAAAACCTAGTACTGAGAAGAGAAGCCCAAAGCCCCCTAGTGACCCCTTGCAGTTGTTAGAGTGGGGCTATCGAGTCCTTTCAGAACCAAGAAACAGTGGCTGCTGTTTTCAAACTAAGAAGTGTATACTGAAGTCTTATTTTGCTTTGGAAATTTGAAGGTTTTATAGAAATAGTGAAATGCTTTACTCTTCAGTAAATATTCACATTCAGGCCATGTGTGGTGGCTCATTGCCTATAACCTCAGCACTCTGGGAGGCCAACGCAGAAGGACTGCTTGAGGCCAGAAGTCAGAGACCAACTTTGGAGCATGGTAAGCATAGCAATACCTGTCGCCATAAAAACATTTTCTTAAAAAATTAGCCAGGTGTGGTGGCATGTGCCTGTAGTCCTAGCTACTCAGGAGGCTGAGATGGGAGGATTGCTTGGGCCCAGGAGTTCAAGGTGGCAGTGAGCTATGATTGTGCCACTGCACTCCAGACTGGGCGACAGAGCAAGACCCTGTATCAAAAAAAAAAAAAAATTCATTTTAGAGCTATAAGGCAGCCTATCAATTTACACAGTCATCAGCTTAAAAACCACTGAGGTTCAAAAACTGTTTGCTACATCTTAAAGCTTTAATTTAAACTTAATTTAAGCTTTAAGAGCTGCTCCATTCCACTTTATGATTAGTTTGAAAGCAGTTTTCAATATTGATATGCTTTGAATGTTAGAGCTGGAAGGGCTCTGAAGAGATCATCAGTCTAACTTCATTTTCAAAGTAGTGGCAGAAAGACTCAGAGCTTGCTTAGTGGGGTGGTGGCGGATTCAGAACTAGGTCACAGATCTCCTGGCTTCTCCAGATCCCAGTTCCTTTCCCTGTACCATAGTAATATTTCATAGTAATATCAATATGACCAAAGGAATGGTCATAATGATAATCATCCCATCCAATCTGCTTTGTTTGACATAAAAAATGTAAAATGCATGAATCCTATGAGAAAAGGTATTCAATCATCATGTCATCTCCTGCTTTAAAAAACTCTCATCGTCTTCATGCTGAAAGAACAGAGAATGAACAGTGTTTGCCTGGGAGTCAAGACCCTGGGGCCTCAACCTACCTGCCTTTCTGGTTTACTCCCTCTGTCTCCAATGAACAACCTACACTGGACAACTCAAGGGGTCCTCTCTATACCCCATGCTTTCCCAGGGATCCTCTGCCCTTCCCATCTGGGTCTTTTGAACATTTATTCATCCTTCAAGGCCCACCACAAAAGGCAGCTCCTCTATGAAATCTTCCCTGATCTTTCCAACAGGAACATGACCTTTTCCACTTTTCAGTCCCACAGCTCTGTGAAACCTTCCTCTAGAGCACGGCATTCTGCCTTGTATCCCAGCTGTCTGTCAGCTTGCCTGCACTCTGGCTGTATCAACTTTATATCATAGAAAGAATTCAGGTATTTTTTGATAATGTTTTTCCAACTTGATTTTGGCTTGTTTACCAATTCAGAACACATGGACAGCAGCTACTTAAAATGATGTCTCTCTTACCAAGTTTACGATTTTAGCCTCAGCAAGGGTAGAGACCACACTCATTTGATTCACTGTTGCATCTACAGTGTGTAGCTACATGTGACACAGTCTATACCCTTTAATAAAGACTGAATGCATCAGAAAGTGGACTAATTTTTATCATTCTATAATTTCCAGAGTTCTTCACATGTGAAATGTATCCACAGACATACTGACTGATTCTCTTGAATCCACTTTCATGTCTAATAGGTCTGAGAACTTGCACATGGCCTTTTCTGTTTTACTCTCTGTGATGCCCTGTAAATGTCCCACATAGGCAGAAGAAAAGACTGGGGTATTGTTAATTAGGGGAAAATAGGCTGCACATACATCTGAGTACATCCTCCAAGTGGCACAAACACTTAGACTCTTACAGAACTCCAGAAACAAGGTATATCAAAAGCACTGCCTGTCCCTTATATCTTCTAGAGTCCACAGATAGATGGAGACAAAAACTGACCAAAGGTAACAATATACTGTATTGCGTCAGGTAGGCACAAACTAAAATTTAGAGTTGAAAGGGTCCAGTGTTTTTCAAACCAGGATCGCTAGCATACCTTGGAAGGGAGCTTGAGGGTAACAGTGAAGCCTCTTCCTTTCAACGAACTGCTCTGCTCTTATTTATTTAGATTTGGAGAAAGCGTGTTCCCATTTTTAAATAGAATTTTGAAAATGATAATCTGTTATGTAAAAAAGAAAAGCTAAGCACAAGCAGGGCATAGTGGCTCACACCAGGACTTTGAGAGGCCAAGGCAGGAGGATAGCTTGAGGCCAGGAGTTCAAGACAAGCTTGGGCAACATAGCAAGACTCCATCTCTACAAAAAGTTTTTATTTTTTTAAATTAGCTGGGCATGGTGGCAAACACCTGTAGTCCTAGGTAGTCGAGATGCTGAGGTGGGAGTATGGCTTGGGGTCCAGGAGCTATGATCATGCCATTGCACTCCAGCCTGGGCAACAGAGCGAGATTGTCTCAAATGTCCCTAATTTCCAAAAAAATAAATAAAGACCAAACAGAGAGCTGTCTAGCTGACCTGGGAGTGGAATCCCAGAGTTCTAGAATTAAGTCTTTGAAGACAATCTTGATCATGGCAAGGCACGCACCTGTAAACCACCATTTCAACTGTTCTCATTTCAGAGGAGGAACCAAAACCAGAGGTTAAGAGATCTGCCTAATCATGAGGCAGGTTGACAGGATGGGGCTGAGACTAGGCCTTGGGGTACTGCCCTATTCTCTCTGCCACCCCGACTGCATGTGTGCACACATGTGCGCGCGCGCGCACACACACACACACACACACACACACACACATATTACCTTCCTTGTACCTGGAATACCAAGTTACAACCATAGGAGTCCAGATGACAGGGTGTGTGGGCTCCCAAGGAGCCAATCCACAATGTACTTTCCTGTCCATTTCTTCCAGGAAACCCGAAGTCAGACCATTTCACATCCTGTTTTGAAATAAAGTTGCAATCCATCAAGAACTAACCAACTTCTCTGTATGGTAATGCTGCCCATTTTCACTTGCACATCTGTTATTTGGCAGTTGGAATACTCTATTATGGAAAATGCTATAGATGGAAGAGGTTAGGTTTCCAGGGCAGTTCAAGAAATCTTTTTAGCTAATAACATATCTGAATAACCACACTAATAGTTGTCATTCAACAAGTATTTACTGACTACTTACAACATGCCAGGCACTGTTCTGGAAGCTTGTAATGAATCAATGAACAGAGGAGACAAAATGCTCACTCAGATGAAGCTTACACTTTAGAGTTGGAAACAGACAATAAACAGACACCATGATGCTGATACTTAGGGAAAGCGTGTTTTGGGCAGTTAGAAAGTGAATGCAGTGGAAACAGCATTATTTCAAATACCTCTGAGATGCAAGGAAGTCAGAAAGCCATATTCCCTCTAAGCAGTGCAGATATTTGTATATATAAGCAATTTACTAACTTCAGTGACCACATAAAAGAAGCCTTCTCCTATGTTAGTGGGGTTACTTTTTAAAACTATTGATGCTGGAGCCTTAGCTCATATCTACTAGATCAGAGTCTTCAGGTGGGTGTGTCAAATACATCTTCTGAAATACACATCTATGGATGGCTTTCAATATACTCCCCACAGTCATGAACTTCTTAAGTGCAATGATCTTTAGAACAGAGACAGCATGGTGCTCTGGACTTAGACTCTACATATGCCTAGTTCTGTGGGCAGATCCTGCCCAAGTCAACTACTGGGAAAAGCCTATACTTAGAAGCTGATGGCACATTTGCAGCACAGAAAAATAGGGTCACACATAAACCCAAATCCATATGATTAAAACAGATTTATAAGCTAGAAGAGAAAAAGAACATACTAGTGAACCAGGCATGAAGGTTCTGCCTTATTTTTATTTTCATCATGAAGTTTTCCTTTTGGTTTTAAAAAACAAAAGAAAAAAAAAACAACAAAAAAACACTTCTACATGCAGAACATGGTACTCAATGCTGACACTTCTTTTATCAGCAACTGCAGTCTAAATTTTCTATTTTTAGAGGGAAAACATTAACAGCTGTATTCAAAGAGAAAGGATTTTAAAGAGATTTAATGGATAGTTTTGAGGAAGACTAGAAAAAGCATTTTCATTTTTGTTTTGAGTGATGAAAATGGCTGAATATGTGTGCACATAACTAGTGTCTGTCATAGAAGGGGAAATTTTTGCAAGGTCATCACCACTGTAAGTGCACATGGCTCACATGTGGCAGTTCCAGTGGGTGGCAAATATCCTGTTCTCTCCACATAAAGCACATAAGCTCCATACTGGGAGCTTACCCCTGTTTTCTCAACGCCTAATTTCGTACCTGGCTCAGGGTCAGTGCTTGGAACATAATGGCTGCTTGGGAGGGAAAGAAGAATCTGTTGACTTATGACGGTTCACATAGTTCAGGCCAGTGACATTTTTGACCATCTACCACATACCTGGTATGATGCTGGGTGTTGGGGATACAAAAATTAATATAACACAGGCCAACCCTTCAAATCTAATAATGAGAGATAATCCCATAAACAGAGCCTTTCAGTATGATGTAACAAGTGCTCTGACAGAAGTATGCAGGGTATGCTTTAAGATCACAGCAGGAGGGCCCTGCACCCAAGCAGGGAGCTTAGGGGAGGCTTCCAATTAACCTGGTCCTTGTTGAACAATTTACCACACCTCAGTCTGAAGAATTTAACTAAAGGTAGCTGAAAGCCATTCAGTATAAAAAGGAAAAAAGAGAGATTTGCCTTAGCTAAGAAGAGACAGGTTATGTGATTCTTAATCTTATAGATACATCCCTTCAGGAATCTAAGAATAACAAAGCCCCTTCTCCTCAGAAACACACACACACACACACACACACACACACACACAATTTCATATATACTGTCGAGGAGGTGACAGACCAACCCCACATGAAAAACCCTGTTCTAGAGCCCTGCTTTGGAAAGAATCACCAAAGGAAGATTTTTCTACAGGGTGAGGTTACTATATGAGAAACTGAGGAGAGGCTTCCCTGACCTCCTGTCTAACAGTAATGCCTTAAAAAGCAAACCTGTTAGCCAGGTGCAGTGGCTCATGTCTGTAATCCCAGTGCTCTGAGAGGCTGAGGTGGGAGGACTGCTTAGGTCCAGGAGTTCAAGACCAGCCTGGCCAATGTTTGGTGAGGCTCTGTCTCTACAAAAAGGTTTTTAAAACATTGGCTGGGCGTGGGGGCATGCACCTGTGGTCCCAGCTACTCAGGAGGCTAAGGAGTGAGGATCACTTGAGCTTTGGAGGGCAAGGCTGCAGTGAGCTTTGTTTGTACCACTGCACTCCAGCCTGGGTGACAGAGAAAGACCTTGGCTCAAAAAACAAAACAAAACAAAAAGCAAAATTGTCAGTGTAAAAATAGACAGCATTGAGAATTGAGATTATCTTCCCATTGAAGTTCAGCTACTTACAGGTTGTCTGAAGTCACTGTGGGCCCAGGAATCTGTCTTGAGTTTTGCTAGAAACAGCAGCCTGTTTGGCTGCTATATCAGTAAAACCAAAAAGGGTGATCAGTGGGGTGATCTGTCCAGGAGTTGACTTACACATACTTCCAAGAGCTGGAAAAATCTTTAAAAATCATCTATTCTCAGAAAGTTCCATTCTACACCATCCCTGAAAAGGGCAACAAGGAGCTGGTTGACTACTTAGTACAAAAATCAGTATCTACGTCCTGGTAGCTTACAGAGGAGGGTCCTAGATCTGCTTTCTGTAACTAAAGAGAATGAGTTTATTTTCTGCCAGAAATTGCTATTTTTAAGTTATCAGAAAAAACTGTCCAGCTTCTCCTTCTTTTTTTTTTTTAACCTAGACACAGCAGCATTAACTTTTCCTTCCAATTGCTCTTCTCTCAATTTCCTTTACTTTGTCAACAGCCCTAAAGCCTGGCTCCCAAACTGAACCCCAGACAGGCTACACAGAACCAGTATCCATGGAATTGTAACATTCCATCACCTGGACATCATACCATTAACATACTGTCAGGCAGCATTTTTATTTTTAAGCAACTAAATTATACCAAGGCTAATATTGGGCCTCCCTGTCTCTTACTTGCAGACTGTGGCTTAGCATATCTCTTCAGCCTTGACTTATAATCAAGGACTAGCCTAATATTTCCTAATTTTCCTTGTGATTTACTCTTTGACTTATTGTTTAGAAGTGTAATGTTTCATTTCAAATATTTGGGGATTTTTCAGCTATCTTTCTGTCATTAATTTTTAATTTAATTCTGTTGTGGTAAGAGAACATACTTTGTATGAATTAAGTCCTTTTGAATTATTGAAACTTGTTTTATGACCCAGAATATAATCGATCTTGATAAATTTTCCATGTACACTTAGAAATAATGTGTTTTCTGTTGTTGGGTGGAGTGTTTTATAAATGTCAATTAAATCAAGTTGATTGTTCAAGTTTCCTGTATCCTTACTGATTTTCTGTACTACTGTATTTGTTTTACCCATTATAGAGACAGAGGTATTGAAACCCCCCTCTATAATTGTGTATTTGTCTTTTTCTCACTCTAGGTTAGTCAGTTTCGTTCATGTATTTTGAAACTGTTACTGGGTTCATACACATTTGGGATTATTATGCCTGCTCGGTGAACTGATCTTTTATTGTGATGAAATGATCCTCTCTACCCAGGGTTTCCTTGTTCTGATGTCAACTTTGTCTCCTCCTTTGATTAGTGTTAGCATGAAAAAGGAGTACTTACTATATGATTCCATTTCTATGAAATTCTAGAACTGCCAAACTAACCTGCAGCCAAACAGGAAGTAGATCAGTGGTGTCTGAGAATGAGGGTGTAGGGAAAGGCAGGTTATGAAGGGACACAGGGAAACATTTGGAAATGATCAAAATGTTTGTCATCTTGAATGTGGTGATGGTTTCTTGGGTGTATGTATATGTAAAAATTAATCAAATTGTTCACCTTAAATATATGCTTTTTCTCTTCATTACATACAGTTATATCCCAATAAAGCTGTGTTTTAAAAAAATATACAATCCTACTAGTACACTTTGGTCCCACTGTCGCAACACTAGCAGCTTTGTTCACCATTGCATTTGTACCATCAGTACAAATGTCAACGCTGTGAAATAAGCAAATATCATCTTAGTAGTATTATGAAAATAATTTTGATCTCAAAGATCCTCTGAAAGGGTGTCAGGGACCCCAAGGGTCTATGGGCCACTCTGGTTTACAACTTCACAACTGTAATTACTCTATTTTTTTGTTCTGACTCCTCCTCTAAGTAATTCCAAAATAGTTTCTTATGAAAATACATTTAAAGTCATACTCCAGATTAAAATTATAATACTTTAATCATGTTCACAAACATTTTATAACTTAAAATTATATAAGAATACCATTTAAGACCCTCCCAAGTATGGCTGATGCTATCTGTCTGCTCTGTGCAAGCCCCGTCCAGTCTCCCCACTGACCTACGTTCTCTCTTACCTTCTGGTCTCTGCTCATGCCCTTTCTAATTTCTGTCTGTTAAAGTTCTATGTTTAAGGGCCTGGCTCAGGTTCAGCCTTGGCTATGAAGACTTCTCAACTACTTGTATCATATCCATCTGTCCCTTGCCTTCCTTCCTATATGTTTTATTTGGATTGCTATTTAAATGGTAAGTGACACAGAACGTCTGTGTCTTTAACAATCTTGTAAGCTCTCTGGGCTATGTTTTATAACTTTTTATTCCTGCAAACTGCTAACATAGTGCTGAATACATAATAGGTATTTCAATGATTACATAAGTGTGTTTTTTCCTACTCTTACCATTTCTTGTTTTGATATTTCTCTGGTCTTTAGGACCCCTCAGAGAATGTTTATAGACTTAAACACCTGGCTTCATCTTTGTCAAATTTTCTGTGGCTTCTAGTTAGTCAGTGTAGCATTTGTCAGCCTTGGTAAGAAATTCTTAATCTCTCTGGCCCTCTACTATTTTTATAAGTTTTTACTTTCAGCCTCTACTTGAAGTTTCCTCCTATTAACTCTTTTCTTCCACAAATTTGACTCATTGACAAATATACTGATATGACTGGAAAATATCCGGTAGCCTCAAGATGGCCTAAAAGTATGGTTTTGACACTGAAATTACTTTTGTGTATAGAAAATTAAACATTATTTTTTAGTTATGCATCATATCCTTGACTAATCCAAGTAAAGCATCTGCTATGAACATTTTGTTCTCTACTTTCCTAGAAAGGTAGCGAATTTGTGACAGTACTACAAAAAATTTCTTTCTCTCAGACTCATTAGGTAAGAATGACAGGTTTTACCTTTGGCAATTATCAGTAAGTATCATCATAATTGAAGTTATTAAGAATCAACATGTAACAAAAGGGATTTTGCCTCAAGAATGCTACTCAGGTAGATTTCATTTTTATGATTTGAATTGGCTACTGAAAATCAGGAGCCTTGTTAAGTCACCAGGACACAGAATCCCAAAATACAGTAGATGGAAGATTAGTTGTAAAATGTCTTCGACTTGAGCATGTTGAAATTAAGGCAGGTGATTCGGTAATGAATAATGGGGTCTCAAGGCCAGTGATCTCTGATGAGAAAAGTTGGAATGTAAGAATTAAGGTGTTTATCCAGCCTATCGATGGGTAGAGAGTTAATTACCTCTTTTCTGTTTATGTACCTAACGTAATTTTTCTAAGGAAAAAGAGACTCAGACAATTGCTAATGTATAATGTCCATTTAAGGGGCTGTTTGAAATTTGAATTTAAGTATTTATCCTCCATAAGTTTTGTATAGTAATTATAGTTAATTATTTTTAAAGTTGCATTTTTGGCAGGGCACGGTGGCTCATGCCTGTAATCCTAGCACTTTAGAAGGCCAAGGCAGGCAGATACTTGAGTTCAGGAGTTCGAGACCAGTCTGGCCAACATGGTGAAACCCCACCTCTACTAAAAATCCAAAATTTAGCCGGGTGTGGTGGTGCATGCCTATAATCCCAGCTACTCAGGAGGCTGAGGCAGGAGAATTGCTTGAACCCAGGAAGTGGAGGTTGCAGTAAGCCAAGATCATGTGACAGCACTCCAGCCTAGATAACAGAGTCAGACTCTGTCTCAAGAAAAAAAAAAAGGAAATATATGATCCAGAAAGCTTACTAATACTTTAAAGGTTTTTCTGATAAGAACAGTGATATTAACAAATGTGACTTTTTGAATAATGAAATGTATCAAGTATACTCAAAATGTGTCAACATTTGGAAGATCTACATAATTCAATAAAACAATATTTTCCAAACGATCCATGAATAACACTACATAAGATCCATTCTGTGCAAGACAGACCAATGGATTTATCATAAGAGTACAGAGTTCATTCATTACAGGTTCAGATTTTATACTGCAACTAATGAACCTTTAAGAAACTACCCCTTATCAAGTTTGGTATGGTATAAAAAAAAATCCACAATTATCTGGAAAGGCTGTTATTAATAAATACTCTTCCCCTTTTCAGTTTCATATGTGTGAGAGGCAAAGTTTTCTTCATATACTTCAAACAAACCAACAAATTGCAACAGCTTGAATGGTGAAGCAGAGGATCCAGCTGTCTTCTTACAGCTAGACATCAAGGAGACATACCATAATGTACAACAATCCATCCCTCTAATGACATTAAAAATTTTTGAATATAGTTATTTTCTTAAAAATATTATATATGTTAACATATAGTGGGTTGTGTCATTTTAAATTAATAAACATTTAAAAAATATACATATTTTAATGTTTACCTACCCACCATTTTATGGTAGATATAAGAAAGCTTGAAACAGCAAGTAATGAGACTTGGTGACTGAATGAATTAAACTGATATAGGTACCTGTGATGTAAGAAGACTTGGTGCCCAGAAAATTTTGAGACAAAAGATGACATAATCTTAATGGACTTGGTTATTCATAGCAGAATTAATTGCCATGATGTGAGCTGGCAGAAAATGCATTCAACCAAAAAATCAGATTTTATAAGGGCTCAGTTAGAATTCCAGCACATTGGCAAAACACGACGTTTCATATCCACACTTAATGGACAGGTCACACACCTGCATAGTGCTGCCTTGCCTGGGATGGGACAGAACTACTAATGGGGTCAGAGCAAAGACTCATCCAAAGCAGAGTGAGCTTAGACTCAGAACAGAGAGTACCAATAGGGCTGAATGTATGCAGACCCTCTGTACGCACAGTAGAAATTGAGGCTATGGAAGTAGTTAAAGCTCTGAAGGCAGACTATTTGGGTTACCCCTTCCAAGTTGTATAATCTTAGAAAAGGTTTAGTTAACCTCTTTGGTTCTCATTTTTCTTAAAATAGGGATAATTATTAAATCATAGAGTTATTTTGAGGATTATAAAAGTAAAGCATTAGAAAAGTTCCCCCAAAAAAGTAAGTACTTGATCAATGTTACTATTAAGCAATATTTTATCTGAAACATGGAGTAAAGTACTAGTCTAATTTACAGAGTGGCAGGGGGTGTGTATGAGAAATATAACATAACACTTTTAAAGTTAACTACGAAATCTGTAAGTTCCATAATTAAAGAACCATAAATTGATCACAATTAAGGTTGTAAGAAAAACATCTACCTTAAAATTATCATTTAAAAATGAGTAAATAGTAGATTTTGTATTGACTTTGGATTCAGAGGCATTTACTGAATGTTTTAAAAATCTATGCACTTCTTTCATGGTTATGAGAATGAAAATACATTCTCAACTAACAACTATGAGAGGCTGGGCTTGTTGGCTCATGCCTATGATCTCAGCACTTTGGGAGGCCGAGGCAGGTGGATCACTTGAGGTTGGGAGTTCGAGACCAGATTGGCCAACATGGTGAAACTCTGTCTCTACAAAAAAATACAAAAATCAACTGGGCATAAAGGCAGGTGGGGTCAGGCGGTGGGTGGTGGCTGTGGCAGGAGAATTGCTTAAACCTGGGAGGCAGAGGTTGCAGTGATTCAAAAATTGCACCACTGCATTCCAGCCTGGGTGACAGAGTGAGACTCCATCTCAAAACAACAACAACAACAACAACAAAAAAAAAAACGACTATGGGGCAAGGTGACATATTTTTCCTTTTTTTAATAACAAAGCAAAATTAAGCCAGGGGCAGTGGCACGTTCCTATACTTCCAGCAACTTGGGAGGCTGAGATGAGAGGATCTATTATAATAACTATGTTAACATCAGCATTTACATCTAGGCTCAACATGAAAAGCAAAAATATACACTGAATGGAAAATTACTCAGGAGCCAAAGAACTATTAGCCTACATGAAAGGGAAGTCCAGAGAGTGGGTGATGGCAGAGAAGGGAAGGGGTGAAATACTTCTGTCCACAAAGGAGGGGCAGGAAGAAAGACTCTGGAGCCTTGGCCTGAGTAGGGGCAAGGCAGAGTCCTCCAAACAGCTTCCCGGATGGCTCCCATTCCTGCCCCACACCTAAGACACACATGGAAACAGGAGCAGAGAGTTTGAAAATTATCTCACAAAATAAACTGCCAGTTTAAGGTAGAAAACACTTAAAAGAAAAGAGGATATAGTAGTCTGGAAACTCTGTTGTCAGTTATGTCAACATACAGCAAAGAACTTCCATAATCTTACTTCTGCAAGTCACTCCCACACTTCTACAGGGCTCTACCACCAAATAGTGGGAGCCAAGTGTTCTCTGGGTCAGGCCACAAACTGCCAGAGAAAACAGTTGTCCTAAACCTCCAGAGCAGATAGAAATTGCAGCAGCAGCCTCGTCACGCACAGCCCAAGGAATGCTTCTTCACAGAATCAGCTTTATGCTTTCAACTGCCTCACTGAGGTAGGATAAGAACTTATATGGTGGTCAGGAGGCAATGAAGATTTATACACAATCTATGCTTCTAATATACTCCAAACTGACTCAAGTACTGTTTAAAAGCAAAGGAGGGTGTGTAGGAAGTTTGCGTGTAGGAAAACAAGGAAGCGTGCTCATCTGTGTGAGCCAAATGGTACACTTCTCTTGAGCAAATCTTTTGGTTTGAGTGGGTAAAATACTCAAGACTCATGGTGACTACTTATGAGAGAAAAAGGCAGAGAAGGCGCCAGGGAGATTCTGATTTGTGATCTTTTCTCAAAAACAAATTCCTACCAAGATTTTAAAAAAGGTATTGACTTACCTGGAAAATATCTGTCTTATCTTCAAATAGACTGACAAAATATTTATAGTCAGCATAAGCCCAGAACTTGGAATGATCATAATCTCTAAATGGTCCAGAGATACTAGACTGGTCACAGTTCCATGTCAGAAACTCTTCAAGAGTAGCTTCTACATAACTACATGTAGTTTCAAATTGAGGAACTGCAATGTAAGAGAATGCAACTTTAAATGTATAATGAACACATTTCCTAATTATTGTTGTTTTTTTAAAAATAAAAATAATTTCAACCAAAAAGTTAACTTTTAAGACTAATTAAGGCTGGCGCAGTGGCTCATGCCTGTAATCCCAGCACTTTGCAAGGCTGAGGTGGGAGGACTGCTTGAGCCCCAAGAGTTTGAGATCATCCTGAACAACATGGCGAAACGTTGTCTATACAAAAAATACAAAAAAATTAGCTGGGTGTGGTAGCATGTGCCTGTAGTTCCAGCTACTTGGGAGGGTGAGGCAGGAGGATCACTTAAGCCCTGGAGGTTGAAGCTGCGGTGAGTAGAGATTGTGCCACCACACTCCAGCCTGGGTAACACAGTGAGATGCTGTCTCAAAACAAACAAACAAACAAAATCCAAAAACCAAACAAAAAATGACCAATATCATCAAAAATGTACCATCACAGCACAGTAGTATATAAAGTTTAATTTTGACAAACAAAGTGCATGTGGCAAGAAAGCTGCATGACTCTGGGAAATAGGAGTTATTTCTAAATGATTTAAGTAACTCCACCATAAGCCTAAACACATTATACTGTCTTAGGAGTTTTCACTTCCTAGAATTCAATCCAACTGAATACTAAAGCCATTAAATGAGCTACTTACCCCTAGGGTGGACTGAGCAGGACTTTTCTGTTGAGGCCAGTTATCTTAGGCAAGCCTGATTTGCAGCCCTTGAACCTGGCCTCATTAGAAGGCTTCAATTTCTTTTACAGTAAGCTCTGTACTTAAAAAATGTTAATCTAAAAATATAAAAATTACATATGAGAACTGCTACTATCAGGGGAAAATTACCATGAATGGAATGAATGGAAATGACAGATCTTTTCATTTCCATAATGATATCAAAATAGAATTTTTTCACTCTTTCCTCGTAGTAGCATCCTAAAGGTACTGTTCTGATTTTGTTATAATGGCAATTTCTTTCTGGGCAGTATAGTTGTTTTTCTTAGTTTCCCTTATGCAATAAAATTATTCCTTTCTAATTTTACCATGACTATTCTTTCATTTAATGTTGAAGTAGTCTAGGCAACTATAATTTTCATCCTACTTACTGTAAAGTGTTAGGTAAGAAGCTCAACCCAGGTCAGGATTTGGCAGCAGTGTACAAACTAAGCTTGCTTTTAATTATTATAAAAGGGGTCTAAAATAGTTTTTACACAACAAGATAACAACTATTTTTCCATTTTGTTAAACTTTCATCATTTTACAAATAAGAAATAATACATGGTGCCTGAGCTCTAGACGTGTCTTTTGATCACACTATCCCCCCTACTTTCAGATGTTTAGGGTTATTTCTACAACTGCTTGCCAAATTTACTGCCAACTGAGATACAACACTACCACTGAGCACATATCTTGGCAAACAAATCTGATCCAAAATGCTATGTGATGTTCTCTATCTGTTTCCTAAAATAAACTAAGGAACACACAATATTCAAAAATGCCAATTATTAACACTTCTATTTCAAGTATTCTAGATAAACTCCAACCAAGACCTAAAATGGAAATAAGAAATATACTCAACAGAGAGGAAACAAAGTTATCCTTACTTTTAAAATCATATGCCTGTCTAACTAGAAAACCCACCAAAACAACAAAGAACTACCTAGGCTAATAAGTGGGTGCACACAATAAAAACATACAGAAACAAATGGCTTTTATCTATGATCAATCACAACCAGTTAGAAAACTGTAATAGGCAAAAATATTTCCTTCATAACAGCTATACCAAATTTACAATATTTTAAGGAATCTACAGACCTATATGAAAACTCTGTCACCCAGGCTGGAGGGCAGTAGTGTGGTCAGAGCCTTGAACTGCTGGGCTTAAGCAATCCTCCTGCCTCAGCTTCCTGAGTAGCTAAGACTACATGTGTGCACCATCACACCTGGCTAATTTTAAGGTTTTTTGTTTTTTTTTTTTTGTAGAGACAGGGTCTTGCTATGTTACCCAGGCTGTTCTGGAACTCTCAGCCTCAAGTGATCCTTCTGTCTAGGCCTCCTACAGTGCTGAGATTATGGGTGTGAGTCACAGTGCCATGTCACAATCTTCATAATATATAAAGAATTCAAAAAATTTTTTAAAGCCTAAAATCCTAATAAGGAAATAGTCAAAGAACAATTATCAGGAAAAAATACAAATTACTAATAAACATGAACATATATTCAACATCACCAGCAATCAAATAAATGTAGTGTGTTTTTTTGGTTTGTTTTGTTTTTTTGAGACAGAGTCTCATTCTGTGGCCCAAGCTGGAGTGCAGTGACACAATCTTGGCTCCCTGCAACCTCCGCCTCCGGGGTCAAGTGATTCTCATGACTCCCAAGTAGCTGGGATTACAGGCGTGCACCACCATGCCCAGTGAATTTTTTGTATTTTTAGTAGAGATGGAGTTTCATAATGTGCCCAGGCTGGTCTTGAACTCCTAAGCTCAGGTAATCCTCCCGCTTTGGCCTCCCAAAGTGCTAGGATTACAGGCATGGGCCACTGAGCCCAGCAAAATAAATGATAATTAAAGTAATGAGATAACATTTTTCACATAACAGGGCCTTGCTCTGTCTCCCAGGCTTGAGTTCAGCAGCATGATCATGGCTCACTGCAGCCTCAACCTCCCAGGCTCAGGTGATCCTCCCATCTCAACCTCCCAGGTAGCTGGGACAAGAGGTACACACTGCCATGCCCAGGTTATTTGTTTGTACTTTTTGTAGAGACAGGGTTGTGCTATGTTGCCTAGGCTGGTCTTGAGCTCCTGGGCTCAAGCAATTCTCCTGCCCCAGCCTCCCAAATTGCTGAGATTACAGGCATGAGCCACCATGCCCAGCTTCAAAGATTTTTAAGATAAGTTTCAGTTTTGTCCAAGGAATAGCAAAACAGGAACCCTTACATGTTCTGAAAAGAATATAAATGGAAACCACCTTCCTGCAAAGCCCTTAGCCATATGTTTCAAAGCCTTTTCATTCTTTCACTTCACAAATATCTGAATGTCCATTAAGTGCTCAGCCCATGATGAGATGTGGCCCTTGCCCTCAAAGAAGTGATCTTCTTGAGGGGAAGAGACTTTAAACAGGTAATAACACAACCATGTGATTACAACTGTGCTAAGTGTTACTAAGAAATACAAAGCATTCTGAGGTAATTGAAGAGTCACACCTGACTTGGGGTATGGAGAAGGATAGATCTGGTCAGGAAAAATGACATTTAAGCTAAGATCTGACAGAAGGAGATGAATTAATTAGATAAAGCTGGGGGAAAGGGAAGTGAGAAAAGAGAGGCTAGACACAGGGAATGACATACATATGCAAAGGCCCTGAAGTAGGAAGAAACAAAGCCCTGGAAATGCAGAACCTGAAAAACGCTTGTCTGGCCTGAGCTCAGAGACAGAAATTATGCTGGGCCTTCCCCACCACAACAGACATTATGGTATTCAGCCTAAGGGTAATGGAAAGCCATTTAAGGGTTTTAAGCAGATAAATAAGATTAGATTTGTTTTTCTAAAAGGTGTCTCTGGCTTCACTATGAGAAATGGTGTGGGAAGGGAGGGCAAGGGGTGCAGAGAGACTAGGATGAGGCCAAGCAACTACAGAGGTGAGAGAGAGCGATCAGGGTAATGCCCACTAGAGGATGGCTGTGGAGACAGACAGAAGCAGGCAGATGCTAGATATTTAGGATGTAAGTCACTGAGTCATAAGACACCACTGAAGACAGGCAATCAAAATGACTCAGAGGTTCTAGTGTAACGAGTTTCACAGGTAGTGCTGCTACTGATGGTAATGCCCATATCCTCTGACCCAGTAACTCTCCTTCTAGGAATCAATCCTAAGGAAGTAATCAGAAACTCTGACAAAATTTGTTTGCAAAGATGTTCACTACTGTCTTTTTAAAATTTAAAACTTGTAAGCAACCTAAATCATCAAAAATTTTAAAATAAGATACTAGCGACAATGAAATATTAGGTGGCCATTGAAAAGTCACACAATCTCAAGAGAAGCTGCTCATGTGAAAGAAAAAGCAAGTTGTGAAAATTAATATAACTTTATGTTTAAATTACAAGGCGGCCTACATGGCCATACCTCAAAATATAACTAGTGATTATCTTTGGGTAGTGGGACATTTGCAAGTCATATACTTAATAAGGGTAGTATCTAGCATATATAAAGAACTCTTACAACTCAATAATAAAAAGACAAAAACAATTAGAAAGCAAAGGATCCCAATAGGCATTTTTCCAAAGAAGCTATACAAATAGCCAATACACACATAAAAAGATGCTCAACATTATTAGTCATTAGGGAAACACAAATCAAAACTATAATAATACTTCCCATACACTAGAATAGGTATAATTTTTTAAGTGGAGTGTTGCCAAGGATGTGGAACAAACTGGAACTGTCATACATTAAAGGTGAGAATATAAAATGGTACAGCTGCTTTGGAAAACAGTTTCTCAAAATGTTAAACACAGAATTACTGTATGACCCAGCAATTCTACTCCAAGAGAAATGAAAATATATATCCACACAAAAAATTGTACATGAATGCTCACAGTAGCATTATTTGTAATAGCCAAAAAATGGAGCAACTCAAATGTCCATCAACTGATGAAAAGATAAATAAAATGTAAATATTCGTACAACAAAATATTATTTGGCAATAAAAAGAAGTATTGATACATATTACAACATGGATGAACCTTGAAAACACTAAATGAAAGAAGCCAGGCACAAAAGGGCCAATACTGAATGATTCCACCCATATGATATATCCTAAATAGTCAAATTCATAGAGACAGAAAGTAAATCAGTGATTGCCAGGGCCTGGGGTAAGGCAGAATGGAAAATGATGGCTTATGGGGTACTGGGCTTCTTTATAGGATAATAATAATATTCTAGAATTAGATAGTGGTGATGGTTGTATAATATTGTGAATATACTAACAACCAATGAATTTTAAATGGCTGAAATGCTAAATTTTATGTTATATGGATTTTATTTAATGAAAAAGAACATTATCTTTACTAAAAGCTCAGAGTTGTTTCTCACAACCTCAGAGAGTTATTTTCCTTTCTTGTGTGCTTAAGTGTTAACTTGAAAATGTCAAATTACTATGTCTCATCTATAAGATAGGATAATAGCATCACTGTCCTAAGGTTTCAGGAAGATTAAGAAAGCTAATATTGTATGTGTAAAGTATTCACAACAGTGCCTGAAACAAAAGCTTTAAATAAATGTTAGCTATTAGTAGTACTGTATTTGGAGTCTAACCAGAATGTGAAAAAATTACGATTTCTATTTTTCTCCAAATTAGTGTCTAACAGACACTTAAATGAGAGGCAGATTTCTTTGACTAAAGTAAAAAAGGAAAAGGAACAATTTGATTTTTACATTATTGCTGCTGGTCTAAGATTGAATTTTAAACAGTTTGGTCTCTGATTACAATGAGCTGACAAGGAGTTCCAAGTATATTCTACATGCTACATCTGTCACAGGAGTACAAAGGGGTTCCAGACACCAGAAACTAAATAATTCTGTGAGCTATACTACAAGATCAAAATGAGAGAAGGCAACTTGGAGCTGCAGGAAGGGAAGCTGGGGACTTTTCTAGTTTTCCTGAGCTATTAATAGCTATTAATACGCCACTTTACCTCAATGCTGAAAAAACTGAAATTCTAGACTACCAAACAACCATATTGAAATACAAGTTAAATACAAGAAAATGATTATAGACTCTCTTAGATTAGAAACAGTAGTTTTAGAGTTAGTGGCAAATTAACTAAATTTTAGAGTTACTGTTAATTGCTTTACCTGACAATAGGGCAAACAAATCAACATATTATGTCTTCAGAAAAGAAGAGACAAAATCTATTTGCTTAAGAGAATAAAAGAGCAAACTTTACATATGTTTCATGTTTGTGCAATGCAAAACCAGTCAGACAGTCAACAAGGCAGAGGGATAATATTACAACCAAGTAATTATACAGCTATAAATAGTGCCTGAAGCCATAAATAAAAGGACACATTCTACATGAGTAAAAAGTAGATGGGACTTTTAGATTAGTATTGGTCTAATAGGAACATAAATAAGAGCACAGTAACAAATATTTATTTATTAAGTGTCTAACATTTAATGAACCACAATAATGTCTAGCAATGTACATATAAGATACATGAAAAAATACATTTTGTATAGGGTTATAAACTATAGGCTGTTTTGTCTTAAAACCAAACAAAATGAAAAACAATTAAGCCAAATTGTTCACTTAAGCCAAACTGTTTTTCCAAGCCTCCCAATAAAATTTTCCTATCTATACAGTGAATGGTCAAAAAAAGGATTAGAAAGGATTCTCTAGAGATAAGGGGGCTGCTGCTGAGAATGTAGGGATGCTCCTGAAGAGACCTTATGATGGTGACTACCTATAGTCCTACCTGTGCTGATGCTTTTCATCCCCATTCTGAATCGTATCCGCTTGCCATGAAGGACCTCAGAAAGGTATTTAGCATTCCAGTGTCGTGCTGGCCAATCAAACACCATGTTACAGAAGATGGCAGGTTGTTGTAAAGACATGATAATTTCTTTTGCTTTCTCTGGTGTAAAAGGTTTGACATGTTCACCTAGAAAGAGAAATGACAACACTATATTTAAACCTGTGGATGGGAATATTCCCCATTCTTGGTTACGCTGTAGTGCAAAAGAATTCCTGGCTCTCTGCTGCACAGCTGACTTGTGCCATTCTGCTGTCACTGTATGGAGTTAAGGAACATGACAAAAAAGAAAGAAAAGAAAGAAAAGAAAAGAAAGAAAGAAGGAAGGAAGGAAGGAAGGAAGGAAGGGAGGGAGGGAGGGAGGGAGGGAGAAATGAATAAAGCAATAGATAGAAAACTATAAAGTTGTTTCATACAATATGAAGAAAAAATAGTTAATACTGTTTTTATCATGGCAAATTGTTCTCTGCAATTACAATGATGTAAACGTCATTTACCACTGTTTATATACACGTAGCCTCAAACGACCTATTTTCCTTCTTTCTTTCTCCTTCCTTCCTCCCTTTCTTTCTTTCCTTCCTTCCTTCCTCTCTTTCTCTCTTCTCTCTCTCTCTTTCTTTCTTTCTTATCCAGGGGTACATGTGCAGGTTTGTTACATGGGTATATTGTGTGATGCCAAGGATTGGGTTTCTACTGAACCTATCACCCCAAAAGTGAGCATAGTACCAACAGGTGGTTTTTCAACCCTTGCTCCTCTCCCTCCCTCCCCTCTTTTGGAGTCCCCAGTGTTTATTGTTCACATCTTTATGTCTGTATTTGATATTTAGCTCCTACTTGTAAGTAAGAACATGTGGTATTTGGTTTTGTTTCTGCATTAATTAACTTAGTATAATGGCTTCCATCTGCATCCATGTTGCTGCAAGGAAAATAATTTCATTCTTTTTTATGGCTTCATAGTATTTCATGGCATATATATACACCATATTTTCTTTATCCAATTAACCATTAGTGGGCACCTAGGCAGATTTCACTTATTTGCTATTGAGAATAATGCTGTGATAAACATGAGTGCAGGTAAAAAGACCTAATTCTTAAAATGATTTTTCTCATACTGCATTTTAAGTGTTTAAATGTTGATAAATATTTACAATATTCAATGTCAAAAAATAAAACTTTAGCATTAAAAAGCCTTTCCAGCTATATCTTTAAATTTTAAAAGATGTGATTTTTTGGAAAATGCTATTTCCTGAGCAGAGGATTATATAAGAAATGCTGATGGGAACTACTCTAGAACAACTGGAGCTGCTGGAGTCAGCAACAATTCTACTTGTTATATCATAGGTTAATGCCAGAAAGACCACTGAGTCAATATAGCAGCCAACCTGGGAGGGGAGAGATTATTTTTATTGCAATTTTAAAAGGATAAAAGATGTACTTAGATGGCAATCAACACTAATCCTTGGTCTCAACTGCATCTACAAACAGTACAGAAGATCTGTACAAACCAACAATGTAACTTACTATTCAAATAAATTCACAGAGTAATAAAATATTAATCTTGGATAGGATAGTAAAGATAAGTATTTTTTGAATTGAAGAACAAACTAGTTTCTCTTTTAAAGACATCTTAAGATGACAAGCTTTTTGGGAGGTTTATAAAATGTTTTATACTCTCTGACCCTCAAAACATATATTTATGATTCTCAAGAACAATCAGCTGACCCTCTATTTTAGTTAATCTATAATTACACTTAATTCAAAAAATTAAGAAAAATTCATAATCCAAATTCCTCTCTCACTCAACCTTCTTCTCTATGATAAAAGGAAGAGGGATAGGGAAGGATTCATCAAAGAACTTGAGTAATTTGTGTTTGTCTAAATGTAAGACTTGTTTTTAAAGAAACTGAAAACTTAAATCAGTTTAGCCTCCTTTCTCAGACAAGAACAAAAACTTGGAATCCCTTCTTAAGCCCTCAGTGAAAGTCAGCAGGCTCTAAGCCCTTGGCAGCTGACATTTGAGAACAATCTGTTACCTTCTACACAGTCATCATCCTAAGTGAGGAAGTCAGTGTGGATGCTTAGAGGGGAAGGGAGAAGAGTCAGGGAATGTGTGGAGTGAGGAAGAGAAGGCAACCTTGGTCTCACTGAAAAGCAGCCCCTGGTTTATCTTTAGGTGACCTTAACGTGGTAAAGAGCCTTGTAAAGGATAACGTTACGTGACCCAGAATACAATTTTCTGTTTTTCTCTGAAATAGCTGCTTTTTGTAGTGTTTTTCACTTTGGACATGTAAAATAACTTTACATTCAAGGTCTTCATCCATTCCATACCGGCCTAGAAATCTAAGTACAAGGTTACATATATTGCAGTGCACCAAATCTTCCTGGACTGGGTGTGCCTGGATTCTGCATGCATGAAAATGAACAGCCACATTTTTTTATTGTGTGTTTTTAAAGTTTCACTGTAGAGTACTTATAGGGAAGGTCACATTTCTTCTCCACCCTCTTAAAGCCTCTAGCTGAGACAGACATAAAACAGATTAACTAGAGAAAAGCATACAAATATTATTCAGTAATTTTTACATGTACATGGGAGCCCTCACAAAAAAAAAAAAATGATCACTGAAAGCAGCAGTTAGAGCTTAACATTTATATAGTAGGTTGGACAAAGAGTATTAAATTTTGAAAATGTGACAAGACAAAGAAGTTGCGAGGGTGCAATTAATTGTGGAAAAGTGACTGGAAAGATAAGGGTTAAACAAGGTTTGTTTGTACAGGTTTCTCTCAGCCTTTATTACTTACCCATCTTTGGTTATAAGAATGTTTTCCTTTTTCATGGTACAGGGAGGGCAAATTTCACATGGAAGTTTTACCTACTGCTTTTGGGAAGAAAAAGGAAGCTCAAAATGACCTTCTTGCATCTGCTGTTTTTCAATGCCTTTTTTTTGAAACAGAATCTCGCTCTGTTGCCAGGCTGGAGCGCAGTGGCACAATCTCAGCTCACTGCAACTTCCACCTCCCAGGTTCAAGCGATTCTCCTGCCTCAGCCTCCTGAGTAGCTGAGGCACATGCCACCACAATCAGCTAATTTTTCTATTTTTAGTAGAGATGGGGTTTTACCATGTTGGCCAGGATGGTCTCGATCACTTGACCTTGTGATGCCAGCCTCCCAAAGTGCTGGGATTACAGGCATGAGACACCACGCCTAGCCTTTTCAATGCTTTTTTTTTTTGAGACGGAGTTTCACTCTTGTTACCCAGGCTGGAGTGCAATGGCGCGATCTTGGCTCACCGGAATCTCCACCTCCTGGGTTCAAGCAATTCTCCTGCCTCAGCCTCTTGAGTAGCTGGGACTACAGGCATGTGCCACCATGCCCAGCTAATTTTTTTTTTTTTGTATTTTTACTAGAGACGGGGTTTCACCATGTTGACCAGGATGGTCTCTATCTCTTGACCTCATGATCCACCCGCCTCGGCCTCCCAAAGTGCTGGGATTATAGGCGTGAGCCATCGCGCCCAGACTTTTCAATGCCTTTTACCCAAAATAATCAATATGCCAAAGTGGCATATTTGGAGCTGGCATATTTTGATCCCTACACTATGAAAAGCTATAACATATTCATGATAAATAATATTCTGTTGTTCATGGCATATAAATTGGAATCATCCTTTGGGAAACAACTGGGAAAATGAAAGAACTGTCCATTATCCCAGTAACTCATGTTATAGGAATTTACCATAACAAATAATGAATCATAAGCTACATATAGCATTGCATACACACACACACAAATGTCTACTACCACATTATAACAACAAAAAACGTAAACAACCTAATGCCCTAAAGCAGAAAAATATTTATTAAATTATGACAAGGCAATCCCATAGTATGCTAGTATGCTATATCCACTACAAATGAGGGCTGTCTAGAAATATGTAGAGATGTGACATGGGAAGGGAGAGTTGGACCTGAAGTTGACTCAGAGAGCTACTATAATAGCCAAGCAATAAGTATGATACAGGCCTGAACAACAGGAGTGGCAGTGAGTAGTCAGAGATGGTAAAGATGAAAAAATACTAAGAGAATAATATCAAAGACTATTACAACCGGAGATGTGGGGTGGGAGTCAGATGTAGCCAAAAGATTGGGGTGTCTAGACTTGGTGACCTGCCATAAGAGAAAAGTGAGGAGCATAGCTCATGGTGTTGGGAAGATGAGCAGCCTGATTTTGAACACAGGCATCAAACAATAATATACATTTAACTATTGAATGCTTCACTGTTTACAAGGCACTTTCACATACATTAAGTGTTCATCTGATCTTATAAGAAGCTTGTAAAATACAAGCAGAGACCGTAATTCATTTCTATTAACCAAAGGAATAAATGGAAGCTTAGATGTCAGAGGAATTAAAACTAGATAATATCAGGTCCCCTCAGTCCAAGTCCAGTGATCTTTCCACTGCACAATTCTATTTCTAGAGAACTGACTGTAAGACTTAACTAGGGCTAAAAATTCAGGAGAAAGAATACAACCTGAAAGGATACACAGGAAAGCTCAAAATCAATTCATAGATAATATTCACATGTGCTTTGGGGAGAGAGGAATGTTTTGAGGAGTGCATGAGTGTGTGTGCATATGTACACATGGCAGAGAGTGCTAGCTGCCTGTGACAAAGACTCTTTGCTTGGCCAAACTGTGGTCAGGCTTTATATGTTCTGCTAGGTCCATCGACGCACTTCCTTGAAAAACCTAGTTTTAGGAAAGAACCCTGCTAAGTCAGTTTAGGAAGAATTGCCCCATCCCTGATATTTGATCAGGTTCTTCATCCTCAACCAACTTCCAGGTGATATCTGATCACCTTGGCCTGTCTTGAGCAAGAATCCTGTTAGGTTGGTTTAGCCAGATTTCCCCTTACCGCTGATATCTCCTCTTAGTAATTTCCCACCCACTGACTGTTCCTTGGCTGTAAATTCTCACTTGCCCATGCTGTCTTTGGAGTTGAGCCCAATCTCTCTCCCCAACTTCGAGACCCCGTTACAGTAGTCCTTACATCATGATGGTTCTGAATAGTCTTCCTTACCATGCCTTACCAAGTATCACTGAATAATTTTTTCTTTAACTTCTACTTA